CTCCCGAGGTGTCCCAGACGGCGAGAGCGCACAGGCCGGGCTGAGGGACCCCCCCGCCCCGCCCTGAGTGCACAAATTTTTGTGCACCGGGCCTCTAGTATTCTGTATAAAACATGTTTTAATAAAAAACACTGAATCCACAAGTTTGTAAATACATCCTTATTAATCAGCTTCTATAGCACAAAAGATGTTTCACTAAGTTGTTAAGAAAATATTTTGAGGTAAATAGAAAAGTAGAGCAAATTTCTGAACTGTCCAACGAAGGCCAGCAGTTCTTCTTATAGCCAGATGTAGGCAGGAAAGGATATTACAAATACAAATTAGTATATTTGTCCCTTGGAAATGATGGATACATATGTTTTCACATGCAGGATGGCAAAGACTACATACCCCTCAATGGCACTGGTGGAGCACCCACATTCATGGCCCTGGATCCTGTACAAGAGACCATAAGTAATAATATCATAATGGAAGCCAGGTGAGATCCAATAGCTTCTTTTTTTTTGAGATGATGGTTTGGAAAACTTTTAACAAGGTTAATTGTCTAAAATTGGTAACTGTTTTAAAATGGGAGCAGTAAATTATATTCCTCTTTTCTCAGAGTTCTGAACCAATTGAAACATAAATGACAGTGCCAATTTAAGGTCTTCGTTCCAGCTTTATTGTTGACATAAGCTAGATCAGAGAATTGGTTTATAGGTGCAATCGGATGGATTTTGAACACTCTCCTGGATTAGATTTACCCTAAAATTTCAGAGTTCCCCCTCAAGGAGAATACACTCTTTGCAAGAAGGAAAGTCCTTGAAAAAAGCATGGCAATTAATTCTCTTTACCAGTCTGATAACTAACTTCCCCTTTTGCAATGAGGGGTGGGGTAAGAGATTCAGGTGGAGTGTGCCTTTTACAGAGTGTCCTCCACATGGAAATGGGAGGAGTTAAAAAAAAAGTGTCCCTGCCAACAAGGTATATTGAATGGTAAGTGGAGAGGGCCCAAGGGCAATTGAGGATGAGACTAAGCACAATTTAATTCACCTCAAGTGAACAATGAATATATTAAATACTTTTGTGTTCAACATTAGTGTCAATCTATTATTGGGATAAAACATACATAATTATGAGTAAGTCTAGGGAGTTTTGCAAAGAGGGCATAAATAAGTGGTGTGGATTAACTCATAAGAGTTCAGAGAACAAAGAAATCAACATAAGCTTAAGACATCAAGTAAGGTCTCCATTTATAGTTGTGTAGTTTGTGTAAAACACAACTCAGGGAGAAAATGGGGACTGAATCCAGCTCATGTTCTGCTTGATAATCCCTATACCCAACACAGTTTTGCATGCCTAGAGAAAGGGACATCTTTCATAGTTACTTTATCATTCATTGAGGGTCTAGGGGAGGATTCTGTCAAAAGGTGGTACCTTTTACTAATCTATACAATATATAGGGTGGTCATGACCTTAGTAGAAGATTCCTAGAGGAGCTGAGACTAATAGTAAGCCCACCAAGGGTGGAGCAGCATTTACTCAGCAGTTCCCAAATCCCATTATATAGTCATTAGCTGAAAAATTAGTATGATTCCAATGATATTATGCTGGAACTAGGTGCACTACATCTCTATTACTCATCACATACATTTTATTTTCAACATAAATCTTTTTTAAAGCTTCAGTTATCAAAGTTTTCCATATTTTACACATCATATGGTTCATTCAAGCCTAACCTATTTTGCACTTGATTGGTTGACATTTCCTTCATAACACTATACACATTTAATGACAGCTATAAGTCACAGTGTTTTTCAGAAGGAAGACAATCATGGAGTCATCCTAGGTGGAGTGTTAGGAAATATACCATATACAGTCCTTTAAATTTTACCTTTTTTTAAAGAATGAAGAAACCAAAGCTATGAGGTGTAGAATGTTCTGGGTTCATCTAGAGAAGCACTGAGAATTGAGCTCTGTTCCATGAGGCCTTGTCTGGTTGTTTATTCAGCACTCCTGTTGTTGTTCAACCATTGGCTGGACATATTATTTCCAATCATATCTATATATACAAGTATAAAAGCCTAAGCAACCGGCCGACCAGCCGACTGTTTGACTGTCTGACCAGTAGCTATGACTTTTACTGACTACCAGGGGCAGACACTCAATGCAGGAATGGAAACCACAGGCATGGAAACATGGAACAGACTGATGAATCTCAGAGGGAAGGGCAGAGGGGGAGGGTGGCAAGAGATTAACCAAAGATTTTATATGCATACTGGAGGCCCGATACAGGTCCCTTGGCCTGGCCTGCACCCTCTCACAATCCGAGACCCATCAGGGAATGTCAGAGAGCTGGTTTTGGCCCGATCTCCACAGGCCAGGCCGAGGGACTCCACTGGTGCACAAATTTAATAATGAGGAGGAAAGGAATGCCTTCTCCACTTGGAGACTTTTCTTCAGGAGGGCTGCATGAAGTAAGTCTTGGAGAGGATCAAATTTCATTTTATTAGTTTCATTTTATGCTGGCCATCAATCTATAGTGACATTTGCCTTGGGGAAACCATGCAGTGAAAGGAAGGAATGTGCACAGTCAGGGACTCTAATTATTTGAGGGCTTTGATCCATTCCTGTCTCATGTTACTGGCTGGCACCAAGTGGTTCACCTATAGCTAACTTCTCCATCTATGCAACTGTATGCCCAGACCTGACTCTCAACACTTACCTTTATTTCTGTGCATTCATGGTGAGACCCAGCAGCCATGGTGGAGAATGCCAACAGCCAGGCCCCATTCGGTTACTATCACACCTGTAGTTGACCTTGGTCCTATTTCCTTGCTCTGACCCATACCACTATGTTTGCATATGCAACTGGTCCTTTACACTACACATTATCTACAGTTGGCACCTTCAACTGACTGTATGCATACCACTAGCTATGGGAACCACTGCTGTTGTACTGGTTCCTAGCTGTTTGACCTGGAGGACCCTAATAACATTTGCAGCCACTGAAGAAGCCCCAAAACATTTGCAAAAAGCCACACAGTTGTCAGTGCTGCTGACTCCAGTGGCCTAAGTTAAAGAGACAGTAAGACCTCTGGACCCAGTGCCACCACATATTCCCACACTTGGCATCCTTCACCACTAATCCAAAGTATCATAGCATACTCCAGTGTAAACCTACCCACAGGTGAATGGCTAATTTTTTTAATGAAGTTAGTTCATATATTCTGAAAAACATGATAGCTTCTTCAAATGTACAGACACACATGCAAGGCTACAAGGATCACTATAATTCAGGGAAACATGAAAATACCAAATCCATAAAGAAAACTTACTTATAATAAATATGTTTCTAAGGAAAAATAAGAAAACTTCTAGAAACTGAATCCAAAGAAATGGGTATCCATGAATGGCTCAAAAAGAATTTGTAATAATAATTCTAAAGATACCCAGAGAGCTACAACAGAACATAGATTAACAATTTAGAAACCAAGGGAAAAAAAAGAAAAAAGTAAGTAATAAGTTCAAGAGTGAGATAGAAAACATAAAAAAAGAACAAAACAGAAATTTTGGAACTGAAGAATAAAATGATTGAATTGAAGAATTCAATAGATAGCCTAAATAGCAGAATTGCTCAAACAAAAGAAATAACTACAGGTTATTTGAAACAGATATAGAAGACAGGTCAATTGAAATTACCCAATCATAACAGAAAAAATGAATGAAAAGTAATGAGGAAAGCATTCAGTACTTTGGAATCTCAGAAAGAGAAAGGAGGAAGAAAGGGGGTAGAAAGCTTATTTAAATAAATAATGATGGAGAGTATCACAACTGTGGAAAAAGAAGAGATATGAATATCCACATTTATGAAGCTAAAAAGTCACCTCAACATTTCAATCCAAAATTATCCCCTCCAAGACACATTATCCTATGGCTGTCTAAAATCAAACACTAAGTAGTCATGTTGCCATGATGACATAGGTCATTCCTGAATTTTCTTGTCCTTAAAGAACAACAACTACTTATGAAAAATATACCAGTTCAGTGTGGCTGAAGTATCACTCTGCCCCACAGAGATCAAGACAAACTGCATTAGAAGGGTAAGAAGAATGGCTATATGCTGATTGCATTGCCCTTCCCCAGGCCACAGCATCACAAAGTGGCAAGGTATTTCCTGAACCTACTATTCCTTCACTGGGGGAAAAAAGCCTGGGAGGACATTCAGCTCCCTCCAGCATTATGGATCACTTTGTGGGAGCCCCTACTCTGGTCTAGCTAAATGGGAATTGTAGGAGAATCAGTGGGGCTAAACCACTGGAAATCTGATTATGATGGAGAAGGGAAGAGAGTCTTGCCACAAGAAGCACTTGGGTCTTGAAACACTAAGTTTCTACATGCAGAACCCAAGTAGTCCCATCAGATTTTCTCATCTTCAGAGCCAAGATAGTGGTAGTCTGACCCAGGAACACTGCTGGGTGCATGATTTGGAACCTCAAATGAGTTTTATTGGATCTGGAGCCCGGTCTGCTTATGCCCAGCCAAGGTACACATGCTATGGAAGTAGCTTCCAGTCCCATATGAGCAGAAGGGCTGGCCAGAACATCTGAAGGCTATATAAACCAGCAATGTTCAAGCCAAGAGGCAGGCAGGCAGAGCTGATTGCCCCCACAGCAAGGCAAGTACTGGGCAAGGAAGATTTACCTGCTATACTCAGGCAGAGGATTTAATTCATGTCCTTACCCACTGATTAGTGTAGCTTCCAGCCCCTCTCAACCAGAAATCCTATTTAAGAAACTTTGGAAGTTGACTGTAGTGAGCCCTCCCCATTCTGCTTATTCAAGAAGGCTTATCATGGCCCTATTTGCTATGAGTGTAGCTCTCAGTGTGTCTGACAAGTTGGAGGCTGTATACCCCAGAAAGCTCAAGCAGAGAAGTAGAATGTTGGAGCTAATACTCTGCAGAGCAAAGCTAGTGGCTACTATTTAGCCAGAGATCTTGGAGCAAGGGTCAACTTGAGTCAAAACCATAAACAGCCTTACCTACCTTTGAGCTGCTTCTCCTGCTATACTCATGTTGGGAAACTACTCATACCCCACTAATTACTTTATATACCCTTCAGCTTGCCTGAATGGAGAACATAACCAGAGCACACATGAACCTATAGAGCTAATCCAATAGCTCTTATTACAATGGCACTTAAAAAATTAGAATATAGTCCATGGCTTTCCCCATATACAAAGAAAACATGGTCACCTTACTTAACAAGAAAATTCAGTGTACACTCTTGCCTGATTCAGGTGCCCAAACAATGAGCCATGCAGATCCTGGATCCTATCTGCTACCCTTCCAGACCAGGGAAACTAATTCATGCCTTCACCTAATGGTTTGTGTAGTAACCAGTCCTGACCATACATACAGTAAACATGAACAGAGAACCCAGGCAATAGTAAAGTTCATCCAGAGTTCAAACAGTTTCTTCAACCCAAATATTCCCTA